ACCAAGTACTAGAAAACAAAGTTTAAACACGCCGCGCACAAAGTGGTTATGTCTCCAGGGCGGGGATATCCGCCGGGCCCCATGCGGGGCCATCAGGCTCAACGGCTTCGGCTTGCTGTTCCCTGCTCCAGTTCCAGTTCCAGTTTCCAGTCTCCGATGTTGCAATTATGTGTTTTGCTTCCTACTGTGAATTGTTGAAGGCCGCGGGGGGGAGAGCCGAAAACCGCCCTGGTTACCTTCACCGTGAGGGGGTCTCAAAAATTCTGGCGGGTCCTGGGACACGCAGACTTGAAATTCGCACTGCCGAGACCATAAATCCTTGTAAAGTGCGGCAAATTCGCATCCCCAAAGCCATAATCCCAATTAATTATACGTAGCACCCCGCAGACGCGGATAAGAGAGAGGGGGCAGTGGGGACGTCAGCTGTCTGCGAGACTCTGGAGAAGCCCGCCGCAGGCGCCAAAGTTTCACAAATTGTACAACGAGCCCGCCGCAAGCGCTGATATTTTCTTCAAACCAATGTGGTGGGTCGCGGAGTGGGCCGCAGGTGGGTCGCGGACTTGGCCGCAGGTGGGTCGCGGGTGGGTCGCGGATGGGTCGCGGGGTGGGTCGCGGGCGGGTCGCGGGGTGGGTCGCGGGTGGGTCGCGGGGTGGGTCGCGGGGTGGGTCGCGGGTGGGTCGCGGGGTGGGTCGCGGGTGGGTCGCGTGTGGGTCGCGGGATGGGTCGCGGGGTGGGTCGCGGGGTGGGTCACGGGGGGGACGACAACAAACAACAACAACCACAACCACAACAACAACAACAACAACAACAACAACAACAACAACAACAACAAGAACAACAACAACAACAATCATTTAAGACTGGGGACACTCCGTTCTCACCAGTGCCAGGGTTTTCATAGGAGGCGGGCAATACCCCCACTTTGTGGGGGGGCCGGTTCAAGCTCTACCAAATTTCCAAACGACTCTTCGCCACCACCCACACCCAGCTTCCCGCCCTATGACGTTCGGACACTTCACTTCGTGGCATGCGGACGACCTTGGCTACTATTCAGGGCCCCGCGGCCGACGACGACGGCGTGCGCGCGCGAAGAAAAAACGAATGTGTCCAATATGGTATTATTTGACAGGGATGATGGCCCTGGCATGCGCGCAACCGTTGTTGCAGAAGTTCGAAGCACGTGAAAAAGTTGCTCGCAAGAGCCCGTTTGACAGAAATGTTGAAAAAATATTGGGTTTCCTCAGAAATCCGCAAGAGCGCGCAAGATGAATTTTTGAAACTTTTTTTTTGAAAAACCATTGGGTTTTTCATGTTTTTATGTTAAAATCGCTACGAAAACTAAGGTTTTGGAAGGATTTCATCTTGCGCGCGCGAGTGTGCACTTCGTGTCATTTGTTGCAAAGGATTCTTGAAGTTTGGTTATGTTAGAACAAGAGATTTCATTTTATAGTGTTTTTTGCAAGGGAAAGCGGGCGTCAACAAAACAACCGGATCTGGTATACCCCGTTTTGCCTGAGACTTCCTCACGAAAATGATGAAAATGTGGCTGCGGCCTAGGCGCGGCGGGGGGGGTCGCGCACCAGGGGTCCCAACAATAATTATTCTTTAGAATTAATAATGTTCAACAACAACAACAACAACAATCAGTTTAAGACTGTTCGCCCTTATATGCTCGAGTGTCCAATAACGCGTATTTCCCAAACCCTCGATACCCGCCCTCTTCGTTTTCGATCGAACCCCTTTTGGGGGGTATACCTTTCTTCCCTGCAGGCCGGGCCCCGGCAAGCGGCGGGGCGGCCGCGGACCGTCGGCCTGGCCAGCGGCAGCGCTGATCGGCGGGGCGGCCGCGGACCGTCGACCCGACCCCAAGAGGGACGGACAGGGGACCGACCACGACGACGACGACGACGACGACGACGACGACGACGACGACGACGACGACGACGACGTCGACGACGACGACGACGACGACGACGGCGACGACGAGCGAAAGCGAGAGCGAGAGAGAACGACAGCAGGGCCACGAAGGGCACGAAGTAGGCCACGAAGGGCGACAGCGGGGACACGAAGGGAATGCGTATGGGGCCACGAAGAGCGCGAACGAGCGGGGGCCACGAAGTGCAGATAATGCGGGGCCACAGAAGGCAACTATGGGGCCACTGAGGGTAGCAACTGGGCCACGTAGGACAATGAGGGGGACACAAATGGCGACAGCGGGGCCACGAAGGGCATGCACACGGGGCCACAACAGGCGCGACTACTGGGTGCCTGGGTGTCGGGAGCGCGGCGCTTGGGCAAATTGCCGGAAATTCCAACGCAAGGCTATTCTTCAGTAAGTTGCAAGCAAGTCTCCAGCGAGAGCGCGACTCCAGAGCGCCGGGAGAGCGATTCCTGAATCAATTGTAAGGGAGTCCCAAGCGAGAGCGCGATTCCTGGATAAAATGCGAGGAAGTCTCGGGCGGGAGCGGGCGTCCTGCCTAAATTGAAAGGAAGTCTCAGGCGGGAGCCGTTGTTGTTGTAACCTGGGGGCCAGGGGGCCAGCTTGAGCAGGAAGACTTTCCCTGTTTAAAAAAAGAGCGCGAGCGTCGAGGGACACATTTTGATTGAAAAACAATCTGCACTGGTGGGAGGGGATCAACATTAATTATTCTTCAGAAATGAGAATTCAACTATAATTTTAAGACTGTTCGCCCTTATATGCTCGAGTGTCCAATGACGCGTATTTCCCAAACCCTCGATACCCACCTTCTTCGTCTTCGATCGAAACCCTTTGGGGGGTATACCTTTCTTCCCTGCAGGACGGGCCCAGGCAAGCGGCGGGGCGGCCGCGGACCGTCGGCCTGGCCAGCGGCAGCGCTGATTGGCGGGGCGGCCGCGGACCGTCGACCCGACCCCAAGAGGGACGGACAGGGGACCGACCACGACGACGACGACGACGACGACGACGACGACGACGACGACGACGACGACGACGACGTCGAAGACGACGGCGACGACGACGATGGCGACGACGAGCGAAAGCGAGAGCGAGAGAGAACGACAGCAGGGCCACGAAGGGCACGAAGTAGGCCACGAAGGGCGACAGCGGGGACACGAAGGGAATGCGTATGGGGCCACGAAGAGCGCGAACGAGCGGGGGCCACGAAGTGCAGATAATGCGGGGCCACAGAAGGCAACTATGGGGCCACTGAGGGTAGCAACTGGGCCACGTAGGACAATGAGGGGGACACAAATGGCGACAGCGGGGCCACGAAGGGCATGCACATGGGGCCACAACGGGCGCGACTCCTGGGTGCCTGGGTGTCGGGAGCGCGGCGCTTGGGCAAATTGCCGGAAATTCCAACGCAAGGCCATTCTACAGTAAGTTGCAAGCAAGTCTCCAGCGAGAGCGCGACTCCAGAGCGCCGGGAGAGCGATTCCTGAATCAATTGTAAGGAAGTCCCAAGCGAGAGCGCGATTCCTGGATAAAATGCGAGAATGTCTCGGGCGGGAGCGGGCGTCCTGGCTGAATTGTAAGAAAGTCTCAGGCGGGAGCCGTTGTTGTTGTAACCCGGGGGCCAGGGGGCCAGTTTGAGCAGGAAGAATTCCCTGTCAAAAAACCGGGTGCGAGCGTCGAGGGGCACACTTTGATGGAGAAAAAACAGTATGCACCGGTGGGGGGGTGATCAACAATAATTATTCTTCAGAAATGAAAATTCAACAACAACAACAACAACAACAACAACAACAACAACAACAACAACAACAACAACAACAACAACAACAACAACAACAACAACAACCACAACCACAACCACAACCACAACAACCACAACCACAACCACAACCACAACCACAACCACAACCACAACCACAACCACAACCACAACCACAACCACAACCACAACCACAACCACAACTACAACAACAACCACAACCACCACAACAACAACAACAACAACAACAACAACAACGACGACAACGACAACGACAACGACAACAACATACAGCAACAACAACAGCAGCAGCAACAACAACAACAAGAACAATAACAACAACTACAACAACAACAACAACAACAACAACAACGACGCAACAAGCAGAATCTTCACCACGGATTCTCACTTCAGCCACGCACCCAGGGACAATGAATAACCGTTCGGCCCCCTCACTCTGACAAGATTCGCGTCTCCGAAATCATGAACCCTCGCAAATTACGCTATCCTCGCGCTCCCGAAACCATAACTCCTTGTAGAGCAATAGTCGCGTCTCCGAGGCAATACCCTCTCGTCCCCGAAGCCACGATCCCTCGTAAATTGCGCGTTCCTCGCGTTCTCGAAATCACAAACCCTCGTAAAGTACATAACATTCGCGCTGTCGAGGTCGCGAATCGTTTTGAAAAGGCCCCCAAAATGGTACAAAAGGCCTCCGAGAAGGCCCAAGAGTGCTCCAAGGCGCCCAAGATGGTCCCAATACTGCCCAAGAGGCTCCCACGAGGCCCCCAAGAGCGCTCCAAGAGCCGAAGCTGCTTCACGACGGCGCCCAGGCCTCACAACATAGCTCTTGCACACCTCTTTCTCCGAGAGAGGGGGCCGGCAGCAGGGGACGAAGCCCCTCCGGATAATAGCCAGGGTCAAAAGTAGGCTGTCTGGTGGCTCTTGATGTAGAGATGTTAGCTCGTCGTGTTGCGGGCACAAAGCGTTGCACTGCCCCCAACGTGTCATCCGCCCTGGGTGAACCCCCTCGATCGGCTCGGGCCCTGTCGGTCGAAAGTTCGACTGGCGAACAGCGCGTACGGTCCTGACCTGCGCCTTCCAACGGGGCCTCGAAGACGCGCCCGCACGCACGCACGGGGCCTCGCTACAGCGCAAGGACGTCTGGAACATCCACACTTGCACGTCTCGCGCAGTACGCCTCTGAACTCAAGCATGCTTTACCCTCACCACTACGAACTCAGCCCACCGTTCGTCCTTCATCCACCTCGCCCAGCACTCCCACGTTCCCCGGGCGGCCCGGCCGCCTTCACCTGCACAATGAAGGCCACGCCGGATGCCCCACGACCAAGAATCCGACCCCGCTGGTAGTTCGCCTGCCCGGGCACCGCCCATGAGACGCCGGCGGGACGAACGGCACCCCATGTTGCCTGCCGCAACAGACGCCGTCGTTGTCAGGGGGGAAAGCGTCGGAGGTACTCGTAGGCACGCTGAAGCAAAAGAATGATCATGCTGTGATGGCGCATGTTTTCCCCTAGCTGGTTCTACAGCATGTTGCGACCAAGCACGGCCGGGTTAGTTAACCGCGCATCACAAAAATTATCCTGGCGAAGGACCCGACCATATGCGGTTGTGGGTACCGCAATTTTGAATGTCTTTTTCGGTGAAGCTCCCTATGGGGCCACGAAGCGCTGCACTGGGTGGGGGGGAATGCTGTACTGGGTCGGCGGTGTGCCAAAGTGGGTTTCTGGGACGCATGCGGATGGTCCCACTGGGGGCTTCGGTGGAGCTCCCTATGGGGCCACGAAACGCTGCACCTGGTGGGTGAAAATGCCAAATTGGGTTTCCAAGACGCATGCGGACGGTGGCACTGGGGCCTTCGGTGGAGCTCCACATGAGGTCACGAAACGCTGTACTGGGTGGGTGAAAATGCCACATTGGGTGTTTCCGGGACGCGTGCGGACGGTCCCACTGGGGGCTTCGGTGGAGCTCCTTACGCGGCCACGAAAAGCTGTCCTGGGTTGGTGACAATGCCACAGTGGGTTTTCGGGACGCATGCGGTCGGTGGCACTGGGGCCTTCGGTGGAGCTCCTTATGGGGCCACGCAACGCTGTACTGGGTCGGTGAAAATGCCACATTGGGTGTTTTTGGACGCTTGCGGTCGGTGGCACTGTGGCCTTCGGTGGAGCTCCCTGGGGCCACGAAACGCTGTCATGGGTCTGTGAAAATGCCACATTGGGTTTTCGGAACGCTTGCGGACGGTGGCACTGGGGCCTTCGGTGGAGCTCCTTATGGGGCCACGCAACGCTGCATTGGGTCGGTGAAAATGCCACAATGGGCGTTTCGGGACGCTTGCGGACGGTCCCACTGGGGGCTTCGGTGGAGCTCCCTATTGGGCCATCAAACGCTGTACTGGGTGTGCGGGACGCATGCGGGCGGTAGCACTGGGACCTTCGGTGGTGCTCCCTATGGGCCCACGAAAAATTGTAATGGGTGTGCGGTACGCACGCGGACGGTAGCACTGGGACATTCGGTGGTGCTCCCTACGGGGCCACGAAACGCTGTACTGGGTGGGTGACACGCAGGGAGGGGGAGGAGGGCCACGAAACGCTGTACTGGGTGGGGGGGACGCATGCGGACGGCAGCACTGGGACCTTCGGTGGTGCTCCCTACGGGGCCACGAAGCGCTGTACTGGGTGGGTGGAACGTAGGGAGTAGGGGGAGGAGGAGGAGGAGGAGGAGGAGGAGGAGGGAGGAGGAGGGGGAGGAGGAGAGGAGAGGAACGCGGGGACCGTCTCTTCAAAACGAGCACCCAACACCACAGGGTGGTTGGAAACAACTGTACCATGCATGGCGAGCGCGCTGTCGCCCCGAAAAGGCTGAGGACTGGAGGAAGTGTACATCATAAGACTAGAATCAAGGCCACAGGGCACGACAAACTCGGTCTCCACAACGTCATCAGCATCATCATTATCACCACCACATCATCACCACCACCACCACCACCGCCATCATCATCATCATCACCACCACCACCATCATCATCATCATCATTATCAGCAGCATCATCATCATCATCATCATCATCATCATTGTCGAGCCGAGGCGACTCGAGCGAAGTTTTGAGTCAACCTCTCCTTCCTCTCTCTCTCTCTTGCCGCCGCCTCCGCGGCTGTATGGGATCGAGGAGGGGGCCCCCTCTTTTGTGCAGAGAGCGCGGCAGACACTCTCGCCAGCACGGGCTGGCGCCATCATGCTCGACGGACGAGCGCAGCACAGCACAACATCGTCGACGGTAATCACGACATTGGTATTGCGGAGCTAGATCCACGGACGAGTTCTGGCACTCCCCAAGGGACCAGAACACCATGGAGCGGGACGACAAGAAAGCAAAGGATGCCATCCCAGAATGGGACGGCAACCCAGGGCGTTGGCGACACTTCGAGACGGCAGTGAAGTGGTTCCCTCGCACGCTGAAGCGGCAGGATAGGGACCTTGCGGCGAACAGGATCATCGGGCGCATGCTGCAGAGCAAAACGATAGCTATACGGACGTTTGCGACCACCCTGGATCCAGACAGATATGAGAATCCGAACGGCCACCTCCTCCTTCTGGACGACCTGAGGAACAGTCCACTGGGAAAGCTACCTATCCCGGACGCGGCCCACAAGATCAAGCACTACTACAAGGACTTCAAGCGGCGCAAAGGCGAGACAGTGGGCGCGCTCCTGATCCGGGAGCAGGACTGCTACTCGGAGATGGTCCAGGCGCTGGAGCGCCTCTTGGAGGAGATGGGCGACAATGACAAGTACAAGCAGTGCCAGGAGTGCTACGGCTACTTCGAGAGAGACCGAGGCGCAGCTGGACGAGGACAATGGTACTGCCAGAGGTGTTGGGACAACTGGGAACCCAACCTCGACGCGCCGACGACCTTGGCAGCAGATGACGCCCCTGCCGAGGAAGCAGAAGAAGCAGATGAGTATGAACGACACTCGACTACGTCTCGCTCGCAGGGCTCTCGAACGGATCGTTTTCACCGACAAGAATCCATGGCGAGCAAGCTCAAGGTTTCGGAAGCGATGGCAGTGGGCTCTACGTTCTTCGGCCACGCTTCCGGAGTCCTGAAGGTCCTCCGCGGTTTCTTCCTGCTCGAGGCGATGGATTTCACCGAGAAAGAGAAGCAGGACGTCCGCGTGGTCACGCAGAACCGCTTGGATTTCGATGCAGTCTCCAAGGCTTTGAAGGAGAGATGGGAGGACAAGGCGCTGGTGCAGCGGGACTTCGGACCGAGGGCTATGCCTCGGTACGGCCCGGAGTCGGGCCAGCAGTCGGCCCTCATTGCAGAGTTTGATGACGTACACGGACCTGACTGGTACGATGGCTACGCAGCGGCAGTCCAGGCGTGGGAGAACGACGGGTACGACCACCACGAGGACGAGGACGACTACGATGTCGAGGAGGAGCCGCAGCTAGCCTCAGAGCCAGAAGGGTCCGAGGCCATGGATGAGGATCTCAACCACCTCAATGAGGAGCTCGAGGCGGCCCAGGCGATGGCGGCAGAGGCGTCACGCACTCTAGTTCAAGCCAGACAAGCAGTGGCCGCCGCTCACAAAGATCGAGGATTTGGCAAGCCATCATCGGGTCCAGGAGGGAAGAGCCGCCTTCCTCCGTCGTGGCCGCACCAGCAGCCCTCGAGACCGCCGTTCACGGGTTCGAGGCCCGAAGTGCAGCAAGGGCGGCAAGAGCGGCAAGGGCAGCAAGTACCGCGACAGGGACCACGACCAGAAGGGCAAGAATGCGAACTACCTGGAGTTTCACACGATCACGCACAGGTTTGACGAGCTCCAGGGTCTGTACCAGGCGGAGCAGAACGACAGCGGCCTCGCCCCCTCTGAGGCCATGGTTGATTGCGGGGCTTCCGCGTCCGCCGGAGGCGAGCGCGCAGTCCAGGCCCTGGTTGCCGCCGTTGCGGCTGCGAACCCCCAGGCCAGGATCGAGATCAACAAAAATGAAAGACCGTGGTTTCGTTTTGGAGACAATAAGTGGGGCAAGGCACTGTATAAGGTTTCGGTCGAGTTCGAGCCGGGCTTCGTTCTGGGCATCTTCGCTCTCAGTCCTGGCGTGCCTCTCGTTTTGTTGGGAATGACTGCTCTGGAGTCGTGGCCGGCAATCGTGAATTTCCGAACCGGGGAGGCTGTGATCAGGGGCCAACTGGTGCAGCTTCGCAAGACTCCAGTCAAGGGCCATTGCATCCTCGATCTGGTGAAGCACGTTTCCGAGATTTTAAACCCGACCGAGGAAAACACCGAGGGTCTTGCAAGGGCGTTTCAGAGATGGTCGATGACAAAGACAACATCACCACCATTAGCATCATCTCAGACAAGAACGACACCATCAGCATCATCTCGGACAAGAACGACTTTATCAGCATCATCTCAAACAAGAACGACATTATCAGCATCATCTCAGATGAGAACGACACCATCATCAGTATATACGGCTCTTACGACAACACCGTCAGTGATAACAGCAACATCACCTCCATCAACCATAACAGGAAGAGCAGCTCCATCATGGTCATCCCCTCCTCCGGCGTCTTTTGGCTCTGGAACTCGCTCAGAGCGATTTTCGGCAATCCGCAAGCCGGCGCTTCAGCCAGCGCGTTTCCATGGAGGGCAAGGACGAATGGGTACCTGTCGACATAGATGCCGACAAGAAGGAGGAGGGCACGGAGGTAAAGTCACCTTCGGCGGCAGCGAGCTCCGGACCTACGACCCGGGTCAAGCGGGAGTTCGTCTTCAACGGTCAGAAGATGGAGTATGTCACCTCGGAGGGCAAGGTCAAGAAGAAAGATCCGGGCAACACGCACCAGGGTCGAAAGAAGGAGAAGCAGATGGAGCTGGACCCGGCGTTCGCACTGCAGGTGGACCCCCGCGACCCGAGGACCACACGGGGACCGTGCGGCAAGACGCATCGCAAGTACTTCACGGTCAACAACCAGTGGGGCCAGACCAGGACATGCTATCGGTGCGGGCTGAGGTTGCTCTACGTCCCGACGGCGAAGGCGCCGATGACGAACCTCAGCATGCAGCATCCGAAGTTGGTGGAGTCCGGCCTGGAGTTGGTGCGGCACTGCAACCTGTGGGAGACGGCCACCGCGATGATCACATCGCCACCTCTCTCCGGAGGCTTCCCGGGACCGAGATCCGCCACGCGCCGGACGCGCTGCTGGAGATGTTGGGGGCAGCGAACCCCAGGCGCAAGGCCCAGATGGCGGAACCAGTACCCGGGCCAGTCTGAGCCGGGTGCCGAGGCAGCTTCTGGCGGCCGGACGCCGGAGGTCACTACTCGCAGGACTGGCCTTGGCCATGACCGT